CTGATAAATAGTTAATGTTTGGGTAATGTGCTTTGTAGACATGTTGAATGGATAAACTTTGAATTGAGTTATGGAAATATGAGTATCACAAGATACTGTTTTTACAGATTACAATGTTGATTTAACTGAAATTGATTGTGAACCAGCTCATTTTTTTCTTTCCTTTTATGACAAAATCTCATATTGCTCCATCAAAGACAATTAACTGAGGGTTTATTTGCGATCACGACATGAGTGAAAATTAATTGAAAAGCCTGTCATTGTGTGTATTCAGTTTTAGCTGTAGAGATGGATTATAAAAGCATTGTAGTGAGAAAATAAAATCTGATGGCCTGAAAATGTCCCTAAGTACATATATAATTTATTTTTAACTGAATATAAAAGTTATCTTCAGCCCAGCCGGTGTGGCTCAGTGGTTGAGCATTGACCTATGAGCCAGGCGGTCATGGTTTGATTCCCAGCCAGGGCACACACTCAGGTGGCAGGCTCGATCCCCAGTGTGGAGTGTGCAGGAGGCAGCCGATCAATGGTTCTCTCTCATCATTGGTGTTTCTATCTCCCTCTCCCTCTCTGAAATCAATAAAAATATATTTTAAAAATAAATAAATAAAAGTTATCTTTGGAGATTATTGATAAAATATACTGTAATATTTTTAGTGATTAAGACAATTACAAATACTAATTTTTAAATGTTTTTAAATTACTGTTAATATGTATCTCATTTGCTTAGCTTGTAATTAATAATGTTCCCTTGGTCAACTATGTATGCATAGATAGATATTAAGTCAAGTTCTCAATAATGTAGTTACCTCATTTTTTCCTACCCAGCTGTTTGGAGGGTCTAAGGCAGAAATAAGCTATAAAGAAGGAACACACTTCATTTTAACTTTTTTCACCAGAATTCTTTTTAGTCATTAGAAGCTTGGAACTCTAGGGTCAGACAAATCTAGAATCAAATTCTACTGCTGGCCCTCAGTAGTAACCTAACACCCAATTCTCAGTTTTCTCCTTTGTAAAGCAATGATGAAAATAGCATCTGTTATTTAGAGTCCTTATGTGAATAAACTAGAGATTTTATGTATTGCCTTCTGCCCAGTGACTGGCTACAGATTTATTAAAAGTTGTTCCTCTTCCCTGTTCTCCCTTCTCTTCCTTGTTCTCCTCTTACTCCTCTTCCTTTCATGTTTGACCCTCTTCCTTCTTTTCCTCCATCTTTCTTCTTTCACCTCCTTTTCTTCCTTATTATTCTCCTTTATTGTTATTATTGACAGTAACCTGGCTTACTTGAGCAGTAAATTCAGGTTCTGTCTTCAAGAGTTCCTAAGATGCAAGACAAGCTCTGAGTAGCACACTGTGGGAGATCCACTATTACAAATCCCTGCTACTCCCTTCCATGGTGGGGAATAGTGAGAGGGAAGTTACTTCTTACTGGGTCTTTCCATTCTAGGGCACTTGGGAGGAGGAAGAAGGAATCCAGAAAGAAACTCACATCCTACAAAAGTTTGTAGAATGCTGCCCTCTCTATGTCCATGTAAATATAGTACCTAGATCAGAAATTCAAGTTCAATAAGAAATAAATATTCCAGGCCCATGGACAGCTTCTTGTCTTTTGCAAAGCTGACAATAAAAGGCATCATTGTCATGTTCTGTACTAATATACTCTTCTAATCATGAGCCACTTTAACTAAACTCGCCAGAAACAGTTTATAGACCAGAGTGAGTTTAGTTTACACAACAGGAGAAATAAAATGGCAGAACAGAGAGATGGAACTTCAGTGTTAGGCCTGACTTTGATTCCTGGCTTTGCTACTTGCCTTGAGCATCAATCTATGTTTCCACAGTCTCAGGGTTGGCATGAAGATTAAATGTGACAGCACAGTATAGGGGCTGGGATACTGGAGGTGCTCCGTAAGTGATTGATTGCTTATTACTCAGCTAGTTGGATATTCATTTCAGAACAGCTATAGCTTCATGACATAAGCTTGTTTGGGAAATCAAAATAATACATATAGTTCTATTTGCTAAAAATCATTTAAGGAGGAGAATAAAATAATTTATCTTTTTAGGAGTGCCTTTCAGGAGGCCATGACAGTTGTATCAGCATTTTCCACACTAGGAATGGTGCTGCCCAATTGTCCATATGCAAGTGCCATGTCAGGAAAGACCCAGTTGCACACAATGCCAGGGGCTAAGCCATGATTTCAGGGACTTAAACCAATATCCTTCTTGCCAAGACCTTTTTCCCACCTACCTTAAATTTCACAAGCTGAGCCATTTTTTAATATATTGCACACCTGATTTACTAAAGTCCTTTTAATGGCAAATATTTCTGATGTGGTCATATTTATTTTGTAATTGAAATCTTGACAACCATTTACTCTGTATTCCGACAATGGAATGAATTGGGAGAGCATCTGAGAAAAAGGAGAGGTGAGCTGTGGCCGGTTTGGCTCGTTGGATAGAGCGTCGGCCTGCGGACTGAGGGGTCCCGGGTTCGATTCCGGTCAAGGGCATGTGCCTTGGTTGTGGGCACATTCCCAGTGGGGGGTGTGCAGGAGGCAGCTGATCGATGTTTCTCTCTCATCGATGTTTCTAACTCTCTATTCCCTCTTCCTTCCTCTCTGTAAAAAATCAATAAAATATATTAAAAAAAAAGGAGAGGTGAAAAGATGTCAGAGAAAATTTCTGATCCCATCACCCTCAATCTCCCTGAGCCTGTGTCCCCATGAATACCTCTCCATAGTGTTAACTCTTTCTTTACCAATGGTTTGTCCCAGTGGCTGACAAGTTCTTCCACAGTTATTCTAATCATACTAACAGATGCTTCTGGTTGGGGAATATAAATAAAAACAAAATCTCCTCCGAACCCAGAAAACCACTCCACTCAGGGATGGCTAATGGAGAAAGAGAAAGAAGGTAGAGAAAGAAGAAGATAATTTTAGTATTGAATTAAGCATTGAACCAGAAAGTGATGCACATCACAGGTAATCGAAGATACTGCAAAGACAAAAAGAAACCTCACCCTTTTCTATAACCAACCAGATGCAAACCATTCCATACATTGTGATGGCTAGTTTTAGGTGTCAACTTGACTGAGCTATGTGGTAGTCAAATTTTTGGTCAAACATTATTTTGGGTGTTTCTGTGAGAATATTTTTGGTTGAGAGTAACACTGAAACTCATAGAGTGAATAAAGCAGAATGCCCTCACTAATATGGGTGGGCCTCATCCAGTCTATTGAGGGACTGAACAGAGCAAAGCACTAGCCATCCCGAGTAAGAGAGAATGCCCTTGAACTGGAACATTGACTTTGTTCTGCCTGTGGATTCAAACTGGCACATTGGCTCTTCTTGGGTCTCGAATCTGCTGTCCTTGGGACTGGAACCATGCCGTTGGCTTTCCTGGAGACCTAGCTCACCCTGCAGGTCTGAGATTTGTCAGCCTCCATAACCACACGAGTCATTTTTGCTATAGTAAATCTCTTCCTGTGTCTATATACAACCTGCTGGTCCTGTTTTTCCTGGAGAACACTGACTCATACATATATGTGTTCTCAAGATAAACAATAGTCCTAAAGTAAGAGGACTGACAACACCATTTGTCACGCACAGTTCATCCTACATTCACTTGGTTAAATAAATTTTCAGGTTAAAAAAAAATGACATCATAAAGAGAAAGGAAAATTGACTTGCACTGTAGTTTTGTAATTACACAAATGGAACTATGAAAATTCCAGATCAATGTAATACTTTGATTTAAAAAGCTTTAGCCCTAGCCAGTTTGGCTCAGTGGATAGAGCCTTGGCCTAAGGACTGAAAGGTCACAGGTTCGATTCTAGTCAAGGGCACATGCCTGGGTTGCAGGCTCAATCCCCAGTAGGGGGCATGCAGGAGGCAGCCAATCAATGATTCTCTCTCATCATTGTTGTTTCTATCTCCTTTTCCCTTTCCCTTCCTCTCTGAAATAAATCAATACATATATATACACACACACACACACACATATATATATATATCTTTAAAAAATGAGCAATTAATTTAATCAGTAATTCAACATTATTCAATCAACAAGTATGTATTGAGCATTTATGGTTTTCAGACACTATTTTAGGTGATGGTGAGACAGTAATGAACAAAGCCGATAAGGACTCTGATTTCCTAGAACTCTCATACATGAGGCATTATGCTTGTTTGCAAAGAAAACTCATTCACAAAATGAAAAGTATTTATGGAATCTAATGAACAAAATAAAGTGGCCAACAAAATAGAACCAGAAGCATAGAAACATAGACCAGATTGGCAGGTCCCCGAGGAGAGGAAGAAGAAGGTGACTAGACAAAGAAAGTGAAGGGATTTGCTAAAGAACATACATACAGCCCTAGCCAGTTTGGCTCAGTGGATAGAGCATCAGCCTGCGGACTCAAGGGTCCCAGGTTCGATCCCGGTCAAGGGCATGTACCTTGGTTGTGGGCACATCCCCAGTGGGGAGTGTGCAGGAGGCAGCTGATTGATCTTTCTAACTCTCTATCCCTCTCCCTTCCTCTCTGTAAAAAATCAATAAAATATATATATATATTTTAAAAAGAATATATATACATACCCCACGGACCCAGGCAGCATTGTGGTGATGCCCAAGGGAGGGGGAGAGGGGAAAATGGGGCATACCTACAGTAGTGTCAACATCAAACATTTTTAATAAAGAAAAGTACTTATATGATTCAGGCACATAGGAAACTCATTTTCAGAAAGATGAATGATATTTTCTATGTACTGTTAAGAAGTGAACTTGGGAGTTATTTCTAGAACCAACCTTAACATCCAGCAATTTCTGAAGCAGGAGTTATATTCATCCAGGAAAAGGTCAGCTTCATTTAGTAAAGTGTACTTTTTATTTTATGCTTTCTTTTTGCTTTTGCTATTGCAACTTTTGTTAATGGCCATTTATTTTTCTTTTTTAAATATATATTTTTTATTTTTTTCAGAGAGAGGAAGGAGAGGGAGAGAGGGATAGAAACATTAATGATGAGAGAGAATCATCCACTGAGCCACACTGGCTGGGCTGTCAATGGTTATTTAGACCATAGGTGACCTGTTGTGTGGTATCAGCATTTTCCTTGTGGCAGTGTTACGACAAAGCAGGAAAACAGGGTAATAGATATCAAGGGTTTCTTTCAGAAATTCAGTTAATCCAGGTAGTTATTGCCAAAATTCGGTAACTTAGAATAACAGCAACTTCTGCTCATGAATCTACAGAGGCAGCTAATGTAGCTTCGCATGTACTGTGTATCAGTATGCCCTGGACTGTTTCACATGCCTCTCACCCTCTGTGGACAAGGATGGCACGGACGACATTCATAAACATGTGAGTTCTCCCAATGCCTAGGCTTGGAACTGACACCTTTTGTTCTGTCTACATTCTTTTGGCCAAAACAAGTCAAATGGCAAAGCTCAAGTTCAAAGAACAAGGAAATACCTCCCACTCCCAATAGAGCAAAGACAAAGGTAAAGATGCTAGGAGAGTGAAGAATTGAAACCAAAAATCAATCTATCATAATGACCTTATGATTTCCTGTGTCAGCATGAGAAACAGATAGAAATAGAGGAGAAACTGCACTTGTTCAGCTATCCATTTCGCTACATTGAAGGCCCTGGCTCCATGTATAAGATGGTCATTTTGGAAGTTTCATATATAGGAATTCAAAAGAGGATGGACTAAATATGTGTGAGCATATAACCTTTCCTAATTGTGTTTAGTAACATTATGGGGTGTGAATCCCACTAATTAAAAATAGCAAATATCAGAGTGAATTAACTGAACGAGGTAAGGGTATTTTTAAATGAAAACATTTGTTCCTGTTACAGATGCACACCTACATGTGTATTGAGTCATATTATAAAAGGCGTTTCTTCCTAGTGATTAAAAAAAGTTTGAAAGCCACTGTTTTAAATTAGTTTCTAACTATAAGATGTCATTGAGTCTAGGGCATTCTCCTTTTTAGAAATATTCCTTTTTAGAAATGGTACAAATCATCTGATTTGAAAAAAGAACAATTTTTCTAGTGCTAGTTGCTTCCTTTGTACCAGGTCTAACACAGGAGCAGTTTGTTTTCAAATCCATCAGCAATTAAGGCAGTTTTAATGGACAGGTGCGTCCATTTATATGCTGTTAACACCCATGACGGTGGTGACCGGTGGCCCATGCTTGAGGTTATTTTTAAAGTATTTACCTTCTCCATTTAGCTTGCTCACTGCTAGCTTCCTGATGCTGGTTTAGAATAAAAGCAACTCCCCGGTATATTTCTCAATAATACTGTTACCTTGTGTCAGAAAGATTTATCATCAGCTTATCTTTTTCAGATTTCAATGTTTGCGTCATGCTGTCAGTTCCCTGTGGCCTATCTGAGAGCAGCAGTGGCTCCGGCCAGCAGCAGCTGTGCGGCCTCTCCCAAAGGCAGCGTTTCTGCTGTCGGCTCATCCGCTTGCTCTGTACACTCACCTGAGCAGGTAGGTCTGCACGCACTCACCCGACAGCCACGCAAACTGCAAAGACAGGGAGAATGCTCAGGAGCATAAGACTTATCAACGGTTTGGTACTTATTCACATATTAATTTTAGGATTATTTAATGCGAATACTAACGAAGGTTCTTTAAGTTTAGTTAGTTAATACCTGCTTTAGTAAGAGAAGCTAAAAAATGGTTAAATATTTTAAATAGCTTGCTTTACACATGCTTTTTAAGATGTCAGGCTTTTATGAAAACTTTACCTATGGAAAGTTGGGAAATTTGGTAAGCTGAAATACGATTTTTTAAAAAAATTATCTTTATTGTTGAAAGTATTGCAGATGTCCCCTTTTGAAATATGATTTTTAAAACCTCCTTTTCTTGTACATGAAAAAGGAAATTCCATGTTGTGTACTTGGCTAGTTTTAGCGTAATAAAAGGAGTCTTCCTAGAGATTTTTGTAGGTTTTGAAATTAAAATGTATCGTGTTGTTACTATATTCTAAATTACAAAACTAAAATCTGGTTTGCACAACTATTATTTGGTAATAATCTTGGCACATTTCTGAATGACTTCACACGTTAGTGTGCGTGTGTCTATACATGCCACATATTAGATGAATTAACTTAAGAATCTTTCAGTTACGATTATTGAAATCTGATACGTATTATCTTATCACGTACACACAGAAACACGTGCAGGCATAGTCTATTGACCACAATACTGCTGTGGATTGTTTCCCTCTTATCCATGGGACTATGGTGATGGATAAGCAAACAAATGGATTTTCCACGTTTCCTGTTTCTTCAGGATGGAAACAGTTTGCTTCCAGGGATGTCTTACCCCGAGAATCACGACCTAAACATTTGGAAATTCTGTCTTCCCTGCTTCTTGTCTCTTTCTTTCTCTTACAATTAGTATTTTAATAAAAATTATTGGATAAATTTCAGAGCTACAAACATATTTTAGGAATAAAATTATTACCAAGTCCTAATTTGTTTCCAAATTTATAGGGTAGAACAAATTTGTGTGGGCTTAGCTCAGAAATTTAACAAAAGTATGATTTTAATATGAAGGTAAAAATAACTCATAGAAAGAATTATATAAGCAAAAGAAGCACAAATAATATAAGTATATTAATAATTATTTAACAATACTTTTTAAAAGTTTCACTTGAAACAATTCATATACAATACAATTGATTTTATTAAATATATTTTTTCTGATTATGAAAGTGAAACATTCTCATAGTAGAAAATGTGGAAGATGTAGAAATGATAGAGAAGAAAGCAAAACTCGCACATTATTTCACCACCCAGGAAAAATTATTGCAAAAATTTGATATTATCTTTGTTGTAATTTTTTGTTTTAATCTCAGTATCTCTGAGTAAACAATATTGAGAATTTGGAGCATGCCATTCCATACCTATTTTCTATGTGTGCATGTGTATGTGTGTTTGTGTGTTGCTAGAGAACTTTACAAAATTAAATTTTTGCTAGGCATCATGTGATCTAGTTGGGAAGTTGAACTCATAAGTCCCTTACCAACCCTGATAACAACTGGGATTTAGTGAGATAGTTGAGAATTTAAATTCCAGGTTAAAATTTAGTGTTTTGTCAAAAATGTATTATTTTTATTTCAAAAATCCTTATTTAACAAGCATTGCATCGTGTCATATGATTATAATCATTTTTTAATTTAAACTAAAATTTTAATTCACTGATGTTCCTTTTATTCACCTCTTACTACCTAAAAAACGTTGGTTTGATTTTTTTTTATTGTTAGAGTATTTCCTAGTGTTTCTCAGAAGATGGTCATCAATATATATTTGTTGTCTTTTTTTTTTTTACCTTCATTTGGTTACTGTTTGGCTAAATATAGGATTGTTGAATTGCTATACAATTTCCTTAATTGTTTCTAAGCTCCTTAGAGCCCCCTGGCTTCCATAATTACAGATGCAAAGTCCTTTGCTAACCTGACCCTTTTTCCTTTTTCCTTTTTAAACTGTCTTGTTGAGGCATAATTGATATGCAAAGAACTGCCCGTATTTAATGTGTACAATGTGATGAGTTGGACCTATGCAAACACCACCACCACCACAATCAAGGAATTTATATCCAGATGCCCATGAGGATTTATCCTTTATCTTTGGAATTTAGAGCCAGGCAAAGTGTATGTACCCCAATTTTTATTGATCCCAAGGAGAACAGAAATGAGCTCATGAATTCCTCAGTTCATTTGTTCATTCAATCCATCTTTTATTCAATTTTGAATGTTCTAGACATTTTCCAGGCCCTGAGGCTATAGCAGTGAATAAAAGACAGTTCATTTCCTTATAACTTACTACCTCTGTTTAATTTTTATCGTATTGTTTTTTTCCTTGTTCCCCTTTCCCCTCTCCTTTCCCTCGGCCTATAGTGACACTCAAGAACGCATCTTTTTATATTAATTTAAACATGTGTGTATTCTTGAAAAAGCTTTGTGATGTTTCTTATACATTCCTTTAATATGCCCTTAACATTCCCAATGGATGTTTACTTATTTGATTAACACGCATATAAGGTGCTATTTTACAAATATTAACTTATTCCAGCCTCAGAAAAGCCCAGGAAATAGCTTATTTTTCCACATGAGGAAACTACAGCCTCAAGAGGTGGGCAGCATGTCCAAGGCCGCAGAATTAGCGAGTGGCCCAGCCCAGACTGGAACAGAGGCAGCTGGGCACAAGGGCCGTACTGTTCAGCACACAGCTCCAACCTGCAAGTTCAAAACTGAACTCCTGACTTCCTCCTGCTTCTTGTCCTTCTCCAACCACCATCTTTCCCATCTCAGTAAATGGGACGCCACCGTACAAGCTGTTCAAACCAAAAGCCTTGCTATTTCCCTTGACAACATTCTCCCAACCCACGTTCAATCTATCGTCAAAATCCAGCCTGCTGTGTATCAGAACATATCCCACCTGACCGCCACGCTCCACGGCCACAGCTGCTGCCCTGGCCCAAACCACCATCTTCACCCCCAGGTCAGTGCCTTGGCTTCCTCATCTTCGCTTCACTTTTGTCCTTGCCTTCAGCCTCTGATCTCAGCACAGCAGACACAATGAATCCGTTAGAATAGGTCAGATCATGTGGCTGGATTCAAAGTGCTTTGGTACCTTCCCTTTTCACACAAAGGCAAAACTAAAATTCTTACTGTGGCTTCTAAGGCCCTATTCAGTGCAGCCTTGTGCAGCGTCTCTGGCGTCCCCATCTATTTTTCTCTGTGTTGCTCACTTTGCTCCAGCCACACTAACTGCTATTTTGCAAACACACTAGGCATGCTCCCACTTCAGAACCGGTGCTCTCTGTACCCTCTAGCTAAAAAGAAACTGTACTAGTAATCGAGACGTCAGGTCATGTTCCAGCTTTAATGGTTTTATGAACTAAGCCTCAATTTCTTGCTAATAAAATTGTCATGTCTTCCTTATAAAGAATCATGTTGCTATTATCGATGTCAAAATGTTAAACGAAATAATGCATGGAATATATCTGTAAGTGCTTTCAAAGTGGAAGTAAAGGTATATATATTTCTTTCCACTATAATCAATTATAAAATAAAAAAATTTTTTTAAATGTGATCAAATGCAAAAACAGGCATTAGTGGATATTATTTCTGTATAAGAGACACATTTAAAATATTTCACTTTTTATTTTTTTATTTTTTACTAAGGCATTTCAATTCTAAGCTTTTGGGCAATTTGTATCTACCTTTTAGAACATGAGCTTCCCTTACAAAACTCCCATAGATTAAAGCATATGAAAAATTCATCATTTGGTCTCTGACTTATAAAAGTGGCAGTTTTATATATTTCAACCTAATAATTCACCTTTTCATTTCTAGCACAGTATCTGACATCAAGTAGATGTTAAAAAATTATTAAACTCAACTATTGTACAAAATTTAGAAATAAAGGCTCTTGCCGAAACCGGTTAGGCTCAGTGGACAGAGCGTCGGCTTGCGGACTGAAAGGTCCCAAGTTCGATTCTGGTCAAGGGCATGTACCTGGGTTGTGGGCACATCCCCAGTAGGAGGTGTGCAGGAGGCAGCTGATCGATGTTTCTCTCTCATCGATGTTTCTAACTATCTATCTCTCTCCCTTCCTCTCTGTAAAAAATCAATAAAATATATTAAAAAAAAATTATTAAACTCAACTATTGTACAAAATTTAGAAATAAAGGCTCTTTCCAAATAATTATTTTTCAGCAAGAAGTAATAGGTAAATGTGTTAGAAGAGAAATCAGATTACCAATGATTCACTCTCTTTTTTTTCCCCTTCCAGGTTTTTGGGATAGATATATGGGAATAAAAGGTGGAACTGTAACCTGATTGTGGATTTCAAAGGAAGAGTCAACACACAAAGGAAAAAATAAACTAGTGGCTAGCCTCCAGGAGCGATGTCCTTTTGCCATAATATAGTTAATATTTCCTGTGTGAACAGCAGCTGGTCAAATGATGTCCGTGCTTCCCTATACAGTTTAATGGTGCTCATCATTCTGACCACAGTGGTTGGCAATCTGATAGTTATTATTTCCATCTCACACTTCAAGCAACTTCATACCCCAACTAATTGGCTCATTCATTCCATGGCTACAGTGGACTTCCTGCTGGGGTGCTTGGTCATGCCTTACAGCATGGTGAGGTCTGTTGAGCACTGCTGGCCTTTTGGGGAAGTCTTCTGTAAGATCCACACCAGCACTGATATCATGCTCAGCTCAGCATCCATTTTCCACTTGTCCTTCATTTCCATTGACCGATACTATGCTGTGTGTGACCCGTTGAGATACAAAGCCAAGATCAGTATCTTGGTTATTTTTGTGATGATCTTCATCAGCTGGAGCATCCCTGCTCTTTTTGCATTTGGAATGATCTTTCTGGGGCTAAACTTCAAAGGCGCTGAACAGATGTATTACAAACACGCTCATTGTTCAGGGGGCTGTTCTGTCTTCTTTAGCAAAACACCCGGGGTTCTGGCCTTTATGACTTCTTTCTATATACCTGGATCTATTATGTTGTATGTCTATTATAGAATATATTTCATAGCTAAAGGGCAGGCAAGATCGATTAACAATGCAAATCAGAAGCTTCAAATTGGATTGGAAGAGAAAAATGGAATTTCACGGAACAAAGAACGAAAAGCTGCAAAGACTTTAGGGATTGTGATGGGGGTTTTCCTCATATGCTGGTGTCCTTTCTTTGTCTGCACAGTCATGGATCCTTTCCTGGACTATACTATCCCACCCCCCTTGAATGATGCATTGATTTGGTTTGGCTACTTGAACTCTACTTTTAATCCAATGATTTATGCATTTTTCTATCCCTGGTTCAGAAGAGCGTTGAAGATGATTCTATTTGGTAAAATTTTCCAAAAAGATTCATCTAGGTGTCAATTATTTTTAGAATCAAATCCATAGAATTACAATACTTTACTGTTTTGCAAAACAGCTGGTGGTGATATTTATGAACACGGCGTAACCAACTTCATGCATCAACTGCCTGGTCTTTAAGTCAGTTACTTGATTTAAAGAATGTATAATGAGATAGGATGATTATATCTTGCTTCCTACTTGGGATGTAGTACATATGATCTTTGCCATTCTTACCATACATATGAAGCTTTGCAAGTCCAGAATGTAAGGTACTACATTTAAAAAAACTTTTCCTGTTTTTTCAAGTACCATCATGGAATTGAAAGTGGTCCTCTCCTCAGTTATTCAGTGGTAGAAACCATAGGCTACATTGGAAATGCAAATTAGAGTACTTTGTCACATATTTGCTTGAATATGTATGGTTGTGTTGTTGTTATTGTTGTTTTTTAGTAAAATTACACATAAATGTTATCTTTAATTATTTATATAACTTTGCTTGTTATATGTACTTTGTTGTTGTTTTTTGGTAAAATTAATTAATTTTAGCTGATTTGTAATCAGCTAAAATTACACATAAATGTTATTTATTAAATAATTATTTATATATACTTTGCTTTTTACCACAAATCCTTATTAATATATATTCTAATTATTTTTTACGTTTATTTTTTTTACTGTTTGTATTATAATTTTTAAATATCTCCATTTTCATCTTTTGAATATAGGTAGTCCTAATTCTCATATTTGTAGGAAATTTGCAAAATGAAGAAAAAATATAATAAAGCAACATAGGAAGAAAAATAACACTTATAGCTAGCTCACTTCCTGAAATAACTATATTATTTAAAATTCTTAAAAACATCATTTTTGAGTGATTATATATTTCATTGTATGAATGTACAATGATATCTTTTAACTATTTCCCTTTTATTGACCACATAGGTTTTTTTAAATTCCTTTTATTAAAAAATAAAAACTAAATTAGTTTCTGCCTGTTACCTGCTATTGAAGTTCATGAAAGTATCTGGAAGGATTTTAACCATATTTCAAGATTATTCTTGGTACATAGGACTCAAAATGTACGCTACATGAAGCAAAACACATTCACTTGCTGGGCTCGAGGCTGCACCAAAAGAGGGGCTGTCATCCACCGGAGCAGTGGCGCCGGAGGGACAACCAAAGGCATCATCCGAGTAGACAGGCCACGCCCACCCGGATGGCTGTACAAAGAGAGGACCCGCGGTGGTTTCAAATAAGATCCCGGAGAGGCAGGGAGCAATCGTTCTAAATGACGAGCAGTGACTTGCCTCTGAGCTGTTTCCCACTCAGACTCTCAGGTCGCTTTCTTGCTGGTAGCACCAGCGGCTTGGCGTTAGCTATTTACTAATAGTGACGTATGCTGCTGAGTAAGTTCGAATAAGGCAGCTCATTTTGAACGAAACGAAAGTTCCTGCATGTAAATTTCTGTTCACAAACCTGATGGTCTGAGAACCTGTCAAATCCTTTCATCTATTACAGTCTGTTTCAGGACTATTTTTTTTTTTCGTTGATCTGACTAGATTTTTGTTCTAGTCCATTTAAAAAACATTATGAGGCATCTTTTCATTTAGTGTAGAGTAAGGCAAGTTGCCTCTAATCATTCCCAGTGTCAAAAACTCCCTTGACTTTTGTTCACCTGTGAGACCATTTTACCAAATTTAAAAAAGAGAATAAAAGCATTTAGACTTTTTTCTGTACCTCACAGCAAGTTTCTGTGGTGTTCTTCATTTGTACCCGCACATTTAAGATTATTCCTAGGTGTTTTGTACCTTTGGGTTGTGTGTTCTGTCTACGGTGAATGAATCTTTATAAGCTTTTATATTTTCTATGTAACCATTAGCGTTGGCATACAGTAAAAATTTATTTTTGCCTTTTCAGTTGACTTGTTTGGGTTTTCATGAGACTTAGTCATATTATCCTCAACCAACTTTAGCTTTATCTCCTTTCTAATAATTATGATTCTTATTTATATTTCTTGATGTATTTTATTAGCCAGAAATGTCTAGAGCAATAGCGATAGCAGTCATCCTGTGTTACATTTATTTTAAATCACTCTCTAGGCTTTAATATTGAATCCTCATTTTTCTTGGGATAAATTCATGACTCAGATAATTCTACCTTTTTCACTTAGCCCTAAAGCCCTTATAGCCTGTTTTTGTAGCCTGTTTTTCTTTAATGCTTATAATAAGAGATAACCCATAACCCACCTTTCAGCAAAACAAAAAGAAAGACTTACCTTGTTACCATATTCCCAGCTTTACCCTAGCTTCCATTTCTTCATGCAGAACGTATTTTTTAAAAAATATATCTTCATTGATTTCAGAGAGGAAGGGAGAGGGAGAGAGAGATAGAAACATCAATGAGAGAGAGATTCATAGATCAGCTGTCTCCTGCACACCCTCTACTGGGGATCAAGCCTACAACCAGGGCATGTGCCCTTGACTGGAATCTAACCTGGGACCCTTCATCTCCAGGTGAACGCTCTATCCACTGAGCCAAACTGGCAAGGGTCATTACATTTCCTTTTAAAAGGTAGTGTAGAATTACATTATCCTCTGTCTTAATAAGTTTCACAACTACAATTATGCAAAAGACTAGCAGAAGAATTACTCCAAGGTCTACACAGAAGAGAGTTAACCTGTCTGGCCCATCTAGCTCAGTGGTTGAGCATTGACTTATAAACCAGGAGGTCAGGGTTCAATTCCCCATCAGGGCTCTATTCCCAATAGGGGGAGGGGGATGCAGGAGGCAGGGGGCAGCTGGTTGATGATTCTCTCTTACTGATGTTTCTCTCTCCTTCTCTCTCCCTCTCTCTGAAATCTATAAAAACATATTTTTAAAAGTAAATAACTAAGCAGAACGAAGTTAACCTGATGACACACTTTTGCACTGTTAGTCTGAGAACAGAACCCTAGCAAGGGATTAGTTTCAATAGCACCCTCTTCTAGGCATTTAGAGAACACCACCCTAGCAAGGGATTAGGCTCTACAATGACCTCTTGTGGGCATTTAGCTAACAGCACCCTAGTAAGGGTTTAAACTCAGTAGCGCCATCTGGTGGTAATTCTAAGAACAGCACCCTAGTATGATATCAGACTCTATAGCGCCCTCATGTGGGCACTTAGGTAAAAGTACCCTTGTAAAGGATTAGGTTCAATAGCGCTCCCTTTTATATGCAGTCTAGAGAAGAGCACCCTATTAGGGAATTAGTCTCAATAGCACACCCTTGTGGGCATTGTCCAAATAGCACCCTACTAAAAGCTTAGGCTCAATGACACCCTCCTGTGAGCATTCTAGAGAACAGCATTGCTTTAAGGGATTCAGCTAAATAGTGCCCTCTTGTGGGCATTCTGAGAACAGCACCTTAGTGGGGTATTAGTCTCAATGGCACCCTCTAGAGGACACTGTGAGAACAGCACCCTAGTAGGGGATTAGTCACAATAGTGCCATCTAATGGACATTCTGGGAACAGCACCCTAGTAAGGGAATTATCTCAATGCCTTCTGGTGGGCATTGTGAGAACAGCATCCTAGTTTGGGATTAGGCTCAATAGCACCCTCATGTGGGCATTATCAGAACAGAATCCTAGTAAGGGATTAAAATCAATAGCATCCTCTTGCGGTCATTTGGAGAACCGCACCCTAGTAAGAAATCTGCAAGTCTGAAAAAAAATCCTTGTCTCACAGCTGAGAATGTCCATTAGATGGCGCTATTGAGACTAATCCATTTCTAGAGTGCTATTTTCAGAATCCCCACAAGAGGGCGCTATTGAAACTAATCCCCTAGTAGTATGTTGTTCTCAGAATGCCCACAAGAGGGTACTGTTGAGAATAATTTTCTACTATGGAGCTGTTCCAAGAATTCCCACTTGATGGCGCTATTGAGACTAATCCCTTTCAAGGGTGCTGTTCTCCTACTGTACAGTAGAGGGCGATATTGAGACAAATCCTTTATTAGGATGCTGTTCTCATAATGTTCACAGTTAGGCTCTATTGAGTAATTGCCTACTAGGGTGCTGTACTCAGAATGTCCACGTGAGGGTGCTATTGAGCCCAACCCTTTCTAAAATGACAAAGGTTGCCAAATTTTAACCACTAGAGTGCCGTGGAGCGCGACTGCGCTCCTCCTGTCTTTCGCAAAAATTGCCGGGAGCGCTATCAAAGCTTCGAAATGGCGTCCAGTTCTAAGTCTGCTTTTATTAGTGATGATGATATTGCTAAATATGTCAATGTAGTAAAGGTTTCCTTAAGTTTTTGAATACGTAACTTCATTTACTTGCGATCCATAATTTTTTTCCTACACTGCTGTAAAATCAGCAAAAATGCCTTGGCAATTTTAGCATAGTTCCTAGGCTATTGGTTGGCACTCAAAGGGTTAAAGATGGAATAAAAGCATTTAGACTTTTTTCTGTACCTTACAACAAGTTTCTGTGGTGTTCTTCATTTGTTCCCACACATTCTTCTTAAAATTATTGCTAGGTGTTTTGTACCTTTGGGGAGAGTGTTTTGTCTACTGTGAATAAACCTTTTTTAAGCTATTATATTTTCTATGTAACCATTAGCGTTGGCATACAGTAAAAATTTATTTTTGCCTTTTCAGTTGACTTGTTTGGGTTTTCATGAGACTTAGTCATATTATCCTCAAGCAACTTTAGCTTTACCTCCTTTCCAATAGATATGATTCTTATTTATATTTCTTGATGTATTTTATTAGCCAGAAATTTCTAGAGCAATAGTGATAGCAGTCATCCTGTGTTACATTCATTTTAAATTATTTTCTAGGCTTTAATATTGAATCCTTATTTTTTCTTGGGATAAATTCATGACTCAGATAATTCTACCTATTTTATTTAGCACTAAAGCCCTTATAGCCTGTTTTTGTAGCCTGCTTTTCTTTAATGCTTATGATAAGAGATAACCCATAACCCACCCTTTCAGCAAAACAAAAAGAAAGACTTACCTTGTTTTGCCATATTCCCAGCTTTACTCTAGCTTCCATTCGCTCATGCAGGGTATTTTTGTCCTTTGATTGTCTAGAGTCCATTTCCTATCTGTGATCCTTTTCAGCTAGACATAGTCTATTGAGAAATTTCTCATTTCAACTAGATATAGTCTGTTGGAACTGTAATGAGAAGAATGGCTCCCTGCTCTTCCCCTTAGCTAAACAGATGGGTGAATAACACAAGCTAAAGATTTCTTTAGAATTTAAATATTTATCAGAGGGGAAAAGACAGTGACCTTTAGCAGAATAGTTAGCAGAAAACAATAAAGACATGTGGGTTTCCATTCCATCCATGTGTAAGACTGTGACCAGACTGCTCTTGGTGTTGTCATGGTTCTTGCTTCTCAGGCTCCAGAGCTGCCTGTCTGTCCATTTTGAAACTTAGTTCTTCAGTTTCTAATGAAGTCTTCTCAGAAGTACCCTTTGAGAATAACTTTTTTTTTTTTAATATTTTATTGATTTTTCACAGAGAGGAAGGGAGAGAGACAGAGAGCTAGAAACATCGATGAGAGAGAAACATCGATCAGCTGCCTCCCGCACACCCCCCACTGGGGATGTGCCCGCAACCAAGGTACATGCCCTTGACTGGAATCAAACCTGGGACCTTTCAGTCCGCAGGCTGACGCTCTATCCACTGAGCCAAACTGGTTTCGGCTGAGAATAACTTTTGATTGCATCCACAGAAAGAACCTTAGCTTGATATACTTTATTATGTTAAAGACAGTAAATTCGACAACGTAACATTCCTTCCCCAAGTTCAGACAACTTCCCATCTAAACAGCCTCATTATCTCCCACTCTCCTCTCAAAGAGGAGCATTCATATAAACTTCATATAAACTTTCCAGGAAGAGATAAAAATAAAAGTACTAGCAAGGAAGTTAGAACTGACTTATTGTTTATAAAAATAATACCCTGGAAGTTCCATCCTAATTTTAAAGTTGGTTTTCGAAGGCAATAATCTAGTCTTTGTAGTCATATTTGTCAAGGAAGTAGGGCAAACCAGATGAACTCCAATTCATTGTGGATTCTGGTGAGTCACAGTTTCTGTTTAGTTGTACATCATCAACATAAAGCTTGAACTTTAATTTAAATGTATAAAGATACACGGAGGACGGTTAGTATTTTTAAATTTAGTAGACTATGAAGTGTACCAACAAAATTATTATTGAGAGATATTTTGAATGCTGCACTAAAATAATCTTCATAATAAAATAATCAGGTTAAGCTAAAGCATGTATGCATTTTCCACAGTCTTTCAATATAGGTGCCTGAGTACATTAGTACATGGCCGACTGTAAAAAGTATTCAAAGGAAGTAAATTTGTTTTTGATGGGTCCTGGTCTTTTTTTCTCATGTCCTAAAGCTCGTCCTCCTAAAACCCCTTGCCCAGTTTCTAAGCTCCCAGTGAATTTATGCCGGTCCAACATTCTAATTCGGTTACAGTGTTTCATTGGGGTGGTTCTACTGTGAAGTCTTGATCAACTTCAGCATCTAATTGGTTTCTGTCTTTGATTTTCTCCAGGAAAAAGAAATCATTGGCTCATATAAATTAAATTTATTAGCATATGTATTAATTAAAGTGACTTAGAAGCTTAAAGTCATGCCACTCACAATATTCTCAATGGCAAACTTTCCTTTTCGTTAACCTGTAAGTCAGATAAGTAATCACTGAGATGATAAGCTGTAAAATTTGTTTATTGGTCAACATTTTCACACTGTGATGTGTTAAAGTAGCATTTCCCAACTCTGGGCTACTGCTGAGGAGCTATGGTATTAGTATAAATAATGTGGTCCTAGCCAGTTTGGCTCAGTGGATAGAGCGTTGGCCTGTGGACTAAAGGGTCCTGAGTTCAATTCCAGTCAAAGGCACATGCCCGGGTTGCAGGCTCGATCCCCAGTGGAGGGCATGCAGGATGCAGCCAATCAATGATTCTCTCTCATCATTGATGTCTCTCTCTCTCTCTCTCTCTCTCTCTCTCTCTCTCTCTCTCTCTCTCTCTCTCCCTTCCTCTCTGAAATCAATATTTTAAAAAATTTAAAAAAGAATGTGGATACTCAGGCCTATGTCAAGAAGATGATCTGTGGTGAAGAGAGCAAACTTGGGAGCCAGATGCCAATGGGTTTAAATTCTGACTCCAATATTTATCAGTTCTTATTTGAACACAGTTACTTAAAAAATCTAAACCTTAATTTACTTACCTCTAAGATGAGGAAAATAATAGTACCTACTTCACTGGACTGTTGATTATTAGGATGGGGCCTTGCACATAAAAGCACTCAGCAAACATACAGTATTAGCACTGTTTTCTGTCATTTTATTGATATGTGCTATGTTGATGCTCACTCAGAATATGCTAAGGTAGCATTGACAAAGAAATTGAAGTAGGCAAACATTACATTTTCTTTTAAAAGTTAGTGTAGAATTACATCATCCTCTTTCCTAGTAAGTTTCACAATCACAATTCTGCAAAAGAATAGCAGAAGATTTATTCAAGGTCTACACAGAAGAGAGTTAACCTGTCTGGCCCATCTGGCTCAGTGGTTGAGCATCAACTTATGACCCAGGAGGTCAAGGCTCCATTCCCTGTCAGGGGCTTGATCCCCAACAGGGGGTGTGCAGGAGGCAGCAGGTCGATAATTCTCTCTCTTATTGATGTTTCTCTCCCTCTCTCTCCCTCTCTCCCTTTCTCTGAAATCTATAAAAACACATTTAAAAAGTAAATAAATAAGCAGAAGGTAGTTAACCTGATGACACATTTTTGCACTGTTAGTCTGCCATGTGTCAGCGTTTGGCATATAGTATATTTAAGAGACTGGAAATTTTTATTTCTTTAAAAATAATTTATATAAAATCACTATATTTACATACACGTATATAATACTGCTATTTATCTGCAGAATGATGTCTCCGCCTGTCAATGAATTTGATGAACACGCTGTGGAAGCCCTAGAGCACGCTAGCATGGAGCCCTGAGGCACCAGGGACGGCCGCAGGCTTCGGCGTCACTCCAGCCTCACACAGCCCATTCACACCCAGCATTCTGCCTCACACACAGCCCGGCTCACACCCCAGCATTCTGCCTCACACACAGCCCGGCTCACACCCCAGCATTCTGCCTCACACACAGCCCGTTCACACCCAGCATTCTGCCTCACACACAGCCCAGCTCACACCCAGCATTCTGCCTCACACACAGCCCGGCTCACACCCAGCATTCTGCCTCACACACAGCCCGGCTCACACCCAGCATTCTGCCTCACACACAGCCCGTTCACACCCAGCATTCTGCCTCACACACAGCCCGGCTCACACCCAGCATTCTGCCTCACACACAGCCCGTTCACACCCAGCATTCTGCCTCACACACAGCCCGGCTCACACCCCAGCATTCTGTCTCACACACAGCCCGGCTCACACCCAGCATTCTGCCTCACACACAGCCCGTTCACACCCAGCATTCTGCCTCACACACAGCCCGGCTCACACCCAGCATTCTGCCTCACACACAGCCTGGCTCACACCCCAGCATTCTGCCTCACACAGCCCGTTCACACCCAGCATTCTGCCTCACACACAGCCCGGCTCACACCCAGCATTCTGCCTCACACACAGCCCGTTCACACCCAGCATTCTGCCTCACACACAGCCCATTCACACCCAGCATTCTGCCTCACACACAGCCCGTTCACACCCAGCATTCTGCGGTTCCTGTGTTCTCTCTCCTTTGTCCTACAGCCCCCAGTCCCTGCAGTGCCCCCTCCCCCACTCTGCCGCCCTTAACCGGCTGACATTTACTCATTTTAAAGACTCGTCTTGACAGTTATTACCTCTCCAGGAATTTCTCTATAATCCCCGTAGGCCAGGTGGGTGTCTTCCTCTGACTTCCCAAAATATCCCCTGCACTTCTTGTCAGTGCGCTTCTGGTTATGTTAACGTGCCCACTGCCCACTGGGCTGTAAACCGCAGAGGTTAGGCATTGTGTTTTATTCCTCGCACCCCGTGCTTGCACACCCCTGGCACAGAGAAGCCACTGGATGGATGTTTTGTAAGGAATTAAATCAATAAGGAATAATAAGGTGTCCAGGGGAAGCGAGACTTGAGACCAAGTCTGTCTGGCTACCAACTCTACTCTCCTTCCTATTTCTGGAAGTGGGGCCAACTATGGGATTATAGTTTCATCTCCAGCCATGTTGAAGCAGATGTGCCTATATGGGTTGAATTTTGACAATAAACATGCATTTTTTATGAATATGTACATATGTAGAATGTTTGGCTTCTCTTGCATCAGCTAAAGTTTTCTTTCTTAGATTTACACTTTGCCTTTGCTTAATAGCCCAAGAATTCCCCAAACATTCGGTTCCTCAAATAAAGTTTTGTGATAAATGTTTTCCCATCTCCACTAAGTAAAACTGCTTCCCCAGTGACCTGTAGTGTGACATGATTTCCCATCATGACCAACACGGAAAGGAACAGCAGATGTGTTAATGATGCCCTCTGGTCTCTATTTACTCAGAGTTGGGCAAATGAAAGCAAAGTGAGAGAAATGGTGATTATACTTGTCTCTTTGGACTATGGCTCAAATTGCAGCTTCAAAGTGTCAAACTATAAATGAAGAATGGTGGGTGTTGGTAAATATCCAATCAACACATTTAATTACTGTTATTAGCAATTCTCACTAGACTTTACTTTTAACAAACAGAAGACCTTGCAAACAGTGATATCATATACTTCAAATGTGTTGATAACTTTATTTTCAAATGTCTAAGGGTTGATAGATTCTCCTGAGAAAGGAAAATGACAAAAGTTTGGAGAACAAACTAAAACACAGACCATCCACTGGTTTGCCTTCCGCAGTTCATAGGACAAGGAATAATAAATAAAGCACGCAAAAAGGAAACATCGCAGTACATTTTTCTACTACATGGTAGACTAGACTACCACAATACTAAATTTGAATAAGTACAGCTAGATGGCTGGGTTAGTTCTATGTAAAAAAAGCAGAGTGAAAAATAATGGTCATTACCTGGGTAATTAAGTCATTTAAATTCCCTTTTTCATCACTACTGTTACCTTGATCAAATAAGACCACAAACAAAGGAAAAGAGAATCATTGCTTGCAATGTACCGGGAAACATATTGGCCTAAGTTCATATTCAAATGCTGGTGATTATTAACTCTTTAGCAATGTTCAAAAGCTGAAAGCAGTTTATTAAACCTCTTTAAAGTTCAGTTTCCTTATTTGTACAATGGGTAATGGGTAACTTTCATGGTTGTGGTGAAGATTTATTCATTTATTAAGTAATTTGTTCACATAAAATATTTATTGAATGTCTATTATAGATCATCGTTGTGTTAACTAGATGCTAAAGATACAGATGTGAACAAGATCCATTCTACATCCTTCATGGAGTTTTCATGGAAATGGAATGAGGTTTGTTTCTTTTTATTTTTGTTTGTTTGTTTGTTTGTTTTTAATATATGCCCTTGGCCAGAATTGAACCCGGGACCCTTCAGTCCAAAGGCCAATGCTCTATCCACTGAGCAAAACCAGCTAAGGCTGAAATGAAGTTTTTGGAAGTGAAATGAGATTATATTTGTCAAGTGTTTGCATAATGTACAGTAGATAGTTCATAGCATATGGTCAGTAAGTTAGAGTTATTATTATTGTTATTTTTACAATTCACTTGGTCATTGTCAATCATGCTCACAATTGCAGAGATAGAATTAAAAAAAATATCCTGGCTGGAGGACTTAAGAAGCACAAATTGGTAGTTACAAAATAGCCACAGTGATAGTCCAGCACAGAGAATATAGTTAATAATATTGTGATGACTGTGTATGGTGCCAGTTGGGTCCTGGGAAAACCATGTAAAGTATATGATTGTCTAACCACTAAGCTCTATACCTGAAACCAATGCAAAACAATATTGAAAGTAAATTGTATATAAGTAAATAAAGGTCTTTCTGTTGTTGAATAGCCTTACATGGTTTTGTGGTACTTTTTGTATTAGTTAGCATTAAAGACATCCTGTGATCTGTCCTGCCTACTTTTCTATCTATACCTCCTCCTTTTTTCTTATTAGTTTACTAGAGGCCTGGTGCACAAAATTCATGCATGGAGGGAGTAGGGGTTCCCCTTAGCCCAGCCTGCACCCTCTCCAATCCGGGACCCCTTGGGTGATGTCCGACTGCTGGTTTAGGCCTAACTGGCTCCTAACCACTCACCTGCCTGCCTGATTGATCACGCCTAACCACTCTGCCTGTCCGCCTGATCGCTCCTAACTGCTCTCCCCTGCCGGCCTGATCGCCCCTAACCGTCTCTGCCTCGGCCTCCACTGTGGCTTTGTCTGGAGGGATGACTGGAAAATGTCTGGTCGACCTGGTCTAATTAGCATATTACCCTTTTATTAGTATAGATTTTCTTTCAGCCACATGAAGTTACCTAAATTTCCTGAAAACTCTGCATCTTTTCAGAACTCCCAGCCTTTGAACACCTGATGTCTGCTGTTCGAAATGCCCTTCATCAATTTGTTTCCTTAGTTGTTCTTGGAGCCTTACCCTCAGCATCACTCTTTTCTGAAGCTTGTCCTGCTCAGGGCCATGCAGTGCTTCCTTCTCTGACCCCCAAAAGCAATTCAGACATGGTTCTATTGATAGCAATGTGATTAGCTAGCTATTAATAATAGGAAAGGAGCAAAGGGAAGGCCAAATATTGTAGGCATGTCAAGGACAGGATCAGCAGGAAGCTGCAACCTTGCACTCCCCAGGGAACCACTGGCTTGTTCCCTGCAAAACACTGGGGGAAGGGATCCAACAAAAGGAAGATAGCCGCATGCCCAGTAAAGTTGGGGTGACATAGGGAAGGTACTTGCCTGTCAGTCAAACCTGGGGAGAGAGATGATTGGCCAGAATGGGCATGGCCATTGCAAGCATGTGAAAATTTGGGAATACATCATCTTCTAAACAGAGGAGTTTCTCTCTTGTTTCTCTCTCTTGTTGCTCTTGGCTGATGACTCTTGGCTTATGACCCTTGTTTCCTTCATAGCCATGAGGCCCTGTGGACCCTACTTGCAATGGGCTAATGGACTGCAGTGTGGAACACAAGTTAAGCTAGATGGATGCTGGATTGGGCACGGCTCCAATATGGAAAGGAAACTCTCAACACAGACTCTGATTTGAGCCCCACTGAAGCCCCAGCTACACGTCTTCGATGACTGGACTGAGGGAAATGAGACTTTGGAAACCCAAGGGTGTAATTCCACAGAAATAAAGCTTTCTACTATAAGATATCCTCTCGTGTGAGTCTCAGAAAATTCTATTTCTTGGGATAACTCAAGAAATCCACCCCCACTAACTGGGGGAGAAGAGGACTTCTCCCCTCCATTACCACTTCCAGATTTAACTATTGTCAACTATTGGCATAAACTGTCGTCAGCTTAGTTCACAGCCATGGGTGTTGATTATGTTAAAACAAACAAAGCAAGCAAGTCATGTGGGGCATGATTGTGATCAATTCAAGTTCTACACACCTGGGTCCCATTAAAAAATGTGAAAACTTGTGTAGTGATGTATCCCTTTGCTCCAGCTTGAGATACAAAATTTGAGCACATCTCTTTACATTATTTAAATTAGTTAGCCAGCTTTCCCATTTGCCTTTGGGTCTTTTACTTTTATTCTCTGGGGACTGAATCCAAAGATTCATTTCTCTTAAACTGCCATAAGGTGTCACTGTTCAAGCTGGAAGATGATGTCATTCCATCCACAACATGCGGGGATAGTGGCCTGGGAGGGGAAGCTACAGTCCTAAGGTCTCAGGGAGAAGAGGATGAGCCACGTTCATTGCACTCACCTGAGAGCTCTCACTTCCAGATCTTGCCCTCAGGTTAGAGAGGCCGGTTCAGAAGGACCAGCTCAGCCGGTTTTCAAGGCTCAGTCAAACTCAGGATCTGGGTTTGACTCTGCACCACCAGTCCTCTGCCTTCCCTCAGGGTCAGTCCCAGTCATGAAAGCCCTCATGCTTTTTCTGGCCCGCTGGCCTAAAATGGTATCAGTTTGCCAGTGCAAAAGGGAAGAGGACAAGTCTGATTGCTTTGCTCCAGGCTGGCTCCTTAACTCTTTAAAAATAACAATTTAAGTTCTAACCTCTCTATCATCTACATAATTAAAAGAGACATGTCAAGTAGTTCTTCACAGAACCCAGAGGGTTTATTCAAAATGACTTACTGTCTCCCCTAGTGGAGATAGACATTACTGGCAACTTTGGAGTAGTAACTTCTTCTGCTTCTAAAGAAATTAAGTTCTACCTCTTGGCAAACAATTGCACTAATATTTGTAAAGCTGTATTTTATTTATTTTACTTTTTAAAATATATTTGTATTGATTTCAGAGAGGAAGGGAGAGGGAGAGAGAGATAAAAACATCAATGATAAAAGAGAATCATTAATTGGCACGCCCCCTACTGGGGATTGAGCCCACAACCTGGGCATGTGCCCTTGACCTGAATCAAATCTGGGACCTGCAGGCCAATGCTCTATCCACTGAGCCAAACCAGCTAGAGCTGTAAAGCTTTCTTTGAAAATACGTTCACATTCATTTTCTCATCATAACATAACACAAATATGAATATGTTCTGAAATAAAAAGAGCTTTTTTTTCTTTTTTAGTTACTCTTCATCAGAATTTCAAAAAGAGCTCCCAAGAAAGATTGAGCCAGGGCCAGCTACATACTTTGTGAGGCCCATTGCGAAAAGAGAAGTCAGAGTCATTTGTTAAAAAATTATTAAGAATTTCAAGAAGGTGGCTGCCAAGCATTACACCAAGCGCTGGCCCTTTGGCGTTCAGGTCCCGTGTGACTGCAAACATTACACACCCAAGGCGCAGCCCTGAGCCAAGCCAATTGAGGTCACACAGAGTTGGTATAAGTAATTACTGTATAATTCAAGCATGACCCTGATGTCTTCTAGTGACCAGTATTATACTTTATCTACATCTGGGGTATGTTGCCTTCCTAGGCTGTCCCATCAGTGCAGAATAAACCTTCATATTTTAAAAGAAAACAAACAAGAAGTAGAGCCTTTGACACATGAGTAGATTTGAGCCAGTAGCATCTGAGAAGATTTTGGCATCATCATGTGAGTTCCTTAAAGAGATAATAATCATGCCCCCTTCTTCCTGGTCTAAGAGGAATGGTTCGACTTATTCTTTTAGTCAGATTTTACAAAGGAAAAAAGAAAACCAATGGTGGTAAGGCCTCTTTTCAGTGACTAGAATTCAAAACAAAACATGGGCTGTGACAGTCTCCGATTCTCCTAAGAGGTGGAAGGCACATATCCAGTTTTCTACCTGAGCCTCTGATCCAGGGGTGGGCAAACTTTTTGACTTGAGGGCCACAATGGGTTCTTAAACTGGACCGGAGGGCCGGAACAAAAGCATGGATGGAGTGTTTGTGTGAACTAATATAAATTCAAAGTAAACATCATTACATAAAAGGGTACGGTTCTTTTTTTTTTTTAGTTTTATTCATTTCAAACGGGCCGAATCCGGCCCGCGGGCCGCAGTTTGCCCACAGCTGCGTCTGATCCCACCCAGTGTGGTTGAGATCACGCTCCTTGGAGCTGCCCGTAACTCAGTGGTTCTGGGTGGCTTTGCAGTCGGTATATAATAGGCTTAGAGCCTTCAGTGTTGCAGATGATGTAATCTTAGGTAAGCAGAGACCCCTGAGAGGATGGAGTGTTTAGGCTCATTAAGCTGTTCAAATTTAGAAAGTCAGGGTTTATTTTTGCTTTAAAAACAACAACAGACCTTTTCAGAACCATTCCCTTGAGGCTAATTGTTAAGTTATTGAATAGTACCCATCACATAGTTCAGCTTTTCTAGTTCTACATAAGCAGTCAGAGCAGTTAGAAAGTTCCATCAGGAAGGAGTTTAACAATGGCATCTTCCACAATGCAACAGGTATGTGGAGAAGGGATTAACAAGGACAGATCTGTGTCTTCTCTTCCTTGAGGTTTTCTTTTTTTTTTCTTTTTTTTTTTTTAGTCTTTCTATAATTCTTTTTTTTTTAATTAAATCTTTATTGTTCAGATTATTACATTTGTTCCTCTTTTTTTCCCCCCCCATAACTCCCCTCCTCCTAGTTCCCGCCCCACCCTCCGCCCTCACTCCCCACCCACTGTCCTCATCCATAGGTGCACGATTTTTGTCCAGTCTCTTCCCGCATCTCCCACACCCCTTTCCCCCCCAGGAATAGTCAGTCCATTCCCTTTCTATGTCCCTGATTCTATTATAATTAACAGTTCATTCTGTTCATCAGATTATTTATTCACTTGATTCTTAGATTCACTTGTTGATAGATGCATATTTGTTGTTCATAATTTGTATCTTTACCTTTTTCTTCCTCTTCCTCTTCTTAAAGGATACCTTTCAGCATTTCATATAATCCTGGTTTGGTGGTGATGAACTCCTTTAGCTTTTCCTTATCTGTGAAGCTCTTTATCTGACCTTCAATTCTGAATGATAGCTTTGCTGGATAAAGTAATCTTGGTTGTAGGTTCTTGGTATTCATCACTTTGAATATTTCTTGCCACTCCCTTCTGGCCTGCAAAGTTTCTGTTGAGAAATCAGCTGACAGTCGTATGGGTATTCCCTTGTAGGTAACTGAGTTTCTTTCTCTTGCTGTTTTTAAGATTCTCTCTTTATCTTTTGCTCTTGGCATTTTAATTATGATGTGTCTTGGTGTGGTCCTCTTTGGATTCCTTTTGTTTGGGGTTCTCCACGCTTCTTGGACCTGTAAGTCCATTTCTTTCACCAGGTGGGGGAAGTTTTCTGTCATTATTTCTTCAAATAGGTTTTCAATATCTTGCTCTCTCTCATCTTCTGGCACCCCTATAATTCTGATGTTGGTACGCTTGAAGCTGTCCCAGAGGCTCCTTACACTGTCCTCGCATTTTGGGATTCTTTTTTCATTTTGCTTTTCCGGTTGGGTGTTTTTTGCTTCCTCGCATTTCAAATCATTGACTTGATTCTTGCGCTCCTCTGGTCTGCTGTCGGGAGTCTGTATAATATTCGTTATTTCAGTCCGTGTATTCTTAATTTCTAGTTGGTTCCCCAATATAAGATCGAGGGTCTTATTAGTTTTCTTGTAGATCTCATTAAGTTTATCGGAGGCTTCTAAACAGTTCTTGAGAGACCTTAAAAGTGTGGTTCTGAACTCTATATCTTCCATTGACAATTTTGTCCTGTTTCTTTGTCTCCGCATTTTGTTATGCTTCCTTGGTGCACCCCCTAGTGGTCTTTGTTCACAGTCTTATAGTTAAATCTTGATTGTTGTAGCTAATTCCAGGGAGGGTTTGACCTCCAGGCCAAGTGGCTATGAGAATCAGCTGTGTCAGCAGTGAGAGAACTTCTGTCCTCTAGGGAGGTGCTAATCTAGCCTTTGCCTGAGGCTATCCGGCAAATGCCTGTGTGCAGGGCTTGGGCGGGGCGGGTCGCACAGGATCAACAGGGTGGGCCGGAGAGAGCAGTTATGGCGGCTCTCAGTCCTGTCCCCAGGGGCTCTGCCTCTCTGAGTCCCAGCACCCGCTGCAAAGCTCAGAGAGAAAGCTGCACTTGCTCTGACCGAAGCCAGACAGTCCCGCTTCTCCCGTTTGAGTCTGGGTCCCCAAAGACTCGCCCGGATCTGGAGCTCAGAGTCTGCGACTCCCTCCCGATTGAAAACAACAACCGCGCCCTCCGCCGCCAGCCCGCTCTCGCACTCCGCACCTCAGAATTTGACCTCAGCACTGCGCCTCCTCTGAGTGTCCGTATGCGTTTCTCTTTCCTCCTAGTTGTAGGACTTCCACTCAGCCAGCGTTCCTGTGGTTCTGGGTGATGTCCCTTCCGTTTTTTGGTTTCACTTTTGAAGTAGTTGTTCAAAGCAGCAAACTCCGGCGTTAACCTATGCCGCCATCTTGGTTCTTCCTCTGAGGTTTTCTTAAGTAAATTGTCACCCTGATAATGCAGTTGCATTGCTGGTCCATTGATTCTTCTTCTTCCTTTTGTTTTTTTTATTTTTTTGCATTGGCTCATGTGCAGAGAGAGTGTGTAGGAGTGTGGAAGTTTATAAGTGCAGGATTTAATATGAATTTGTAGTAAAAGGCAGAGTCTTCTAAATATGTTGACGGGATCATGTGCTGCCTTTGGGCACTGCACCATGTTTCCTGGGAAGAAGAGTTAGGGTCCTGGAAGGGGTTACCTCTTCCCAAGTGGCTGAGTGAAGTATTTACTGGTGTTTACGTAAGTGAAGCAGAAGGGTAAGTTAGCTATCTGGGACTTTTTTGCATACAATCCCACGCCTTTACTTTCTTAGGAGAAATCTTTTCCTCGTCAGATGTATTATTGAATGTGGTGTCCACCCTAATAAGGAAGGGAGGAAGAAGGATGAGAGGAAAATCACCTTTGAAGGAGCTCATTATGTATCGGGTGTTGTGCTAAGCCTGTTCATATGTATTATTTAATTTATTAAGATTCATTGACATTTAATATTTAATAGACATTGAACAACTGAAAGAAATCAACAGCTTGGGTAAGGAAAAAAAAAACCCTCAAGGAAAATAGAAAGAATGATTAGCAGGGAGAAAAAAGACTTTTGAAAGTCCCTTAGAAGTTTAAAAAGTGATTGCTAAAGCAGAGGACTATTTAATATGGAAGCACTTACCAAATTTAATGACAAGGTAAAAAGAAATGAGATTACATTAGAAAAATTAGAAAATGCTTTATTACCATGATCATGGTCCTGAAAATTAATTACTTCCTTAGAGATTGCAGAAGACACTTTTATTTATTTTTTTAAATATATTTTTATTGATTTCAGAGAGGAAGAGAGAGGGAGAGAGAGAGAAATAGAAACATCAATGATGAGAATCATTGATAGACTGCCTCCTGCACGCCCCCCTACTGGGGATCGAGCCCGCAGCCCAGGCAGGTGCTTTTGACCGGAATCAAACCAGGGACCCTTCAGTCTGCAGGCTGACACTCTATCGACTGAGCCAAGCCAGCTAGGGTGACACTTTTATTTTAATAATTTAGTAGAATAAAGTTTAGATATGGTATTTATCCATAAGCTCAATGGACAAGCAATTCGTTATGTCCCAAATCTTTAATTTTTGTGTTTTTTGTAGAAACATAACAGTAATGGAGAAAAGGCCAGATATTCCATTTAATTTTGTTGCAATCCATGTATCTATGTATTTATATTCATAGGTTTAAAAAAATAGGAAAATGATACTTGACGAATATAGTCTGAAATTATTGTTTTATGCATTTAGCTTTCCAAGACAATCAATCTGAAAGGTGTGAAAGAGATGGTTGTTGAAAGGTTTAAACTGATGATGGCTGTCACATGCAAGAAACATGCCAAATGCACTATGGAGAATGATGAATGGAATTTACTTAAAAGCACTGTTTGATGAGCTCACCAAATAGTCATCAATGTGTTTCTACCTGCTACATAGCAAGGGTATGAGGAATACAAATGTATGCATCATATTATATGTTTCAAAGAATTTTATTATAGGTCTTAGAGTGGATTGGCTAACTAAAGTTCCCGAATGCTAAAAGGGAAGGGAGTCCAGCTCCACACCCTATGATTTGAAGGACTGAGTAAGACTTTCCAGAAGTGGAATGGCAGGGTGATTAATAACATCAGCCACTAAGCCAGGCACACAAAGAAGTTTGTAATTAACTATTAAAATGTATGTATTGTCGTTGTGAAGTTGCCTTTCGCACAAAAATATTGTGTGTGTGTCCACCATTTTAATTAAAATAAAATTACTTGTTATTTCTCTCAGCTGTTGTTTCCAAGAAGTAAAGGTGATTTTAAAATAAATCAACACAATTTTCTTTGGTTCTCCTATGCATTTAAGGAGCATACTGAAGGTGATATGAATCTTCCTTCTCTTTCATAAGACTGCTTTTCTCCCAGTGTTTTCTTCTGTGGTGATTTTTTTACTGGTCAGCAGGTGACTCACAGGAAATGACAAGCAGCTGAAGAACATTGTACCAGGATTGGGCGGTGGGGGAGGGGGAGGATTCCTTGCCTCTCATTTTCTCCCACCTTTTTTTCCTGGGAGGATGCTAGGAGGAATAGGAGAGAAATGCTATATACATATTAAAAATCCCTATGGTAGCTGCTGAGAAGAAATATAATTTGAGAATCAGTTGTACACATTTTAGAAATTTTGGGATAAAAATGTTTTGGCAAAAGCATTTATGTTTTTCAGAAATAAGTCTGCTGTTTCCATAAATAGCAGCTAAGGCATTCGTTGGCAGACCCCAAGTGCATTTTGGTAGCATTCCTATTATGTGGTTGTATCACCCTCTCCCTCCTTCTCCATCTTTAGTTCCAACGCTAAAACTGGTCCGTCTTACAATTTGGTCATTGGTTCTGCTCAGGTGGGGATTTGACTCTAGAGCAGGAAGGAGAAAGATAAAATTGCCTGGAATTCAACACTTAGAATCGGTTGGAGACAGCTTTTAATTTCAACCTGCATTCATTCTCCTGTAGCTAACTTAATTGCTTTCTTTCTTTTTAGAATCACTGCTTAAATTTGAGAACCAAGTGGGAAAGTTCCTTGGACTGTTTGTGGATAAAAGCACAGTCTTGGGGGACAACAACAAAACTAAAAACCCTCTCTTCTCCCACTCTGTCCTCTCTTTAACCCCCACCCCCATTTTTTTCTGTTGGGTTTCACAGACCCTGAGAGTGGCTTTCAAATATCTCCAAAACTCCTCGTGCCTTTTCTTCATCTTCCTTTAAGCTTGGAATAGGCTTTCCCCCCTCCTGCTCAAGTCCCCCACACCCATTGGAGCCAGGTCAAAAGTTCCACCCTCCCTGGGAACATGCTTGTCTACACCAATCTAAAATTTTCTTGTGCACTTCTGATGTTTGATTTCACATTTTGCCTAGACCTCTTTTTGGTCAGTTAATCATCACTGTTACTTTTTTTCTTTTTTAACCTGTGGTACAGGATCATTTTGTTTTTATGTGTTGATGTGTTTTGTCTCTTCAGTTGTTTTGTAGACTTTTTGCAGCCATGGACTAGTTTATGCTTTCTCGTTCCTTTCACTGTGTCTTGTGCATTGTGGGCATTCAATAAACAGTTATGTGTGGTGGTGCTCTTACATCACAGAAGCTGAGCAGGATTTACTGGTTTATCTATTAGTAATTGGTCAGGTCTGATATGTGTGAAGTCATTGATGGCCAGACACTTCCTGGAATATTAATAGTTATGGCCCAGCCAGTGTGGCTCAGTGATTGAGCATTAACCTATGAACCAGGAGTTCACAATTCAATTCCTGGTCATGGCACATGCCCAGGTTGCGGGCTCAATCCCCTGTGTGGGACATGCAGGAGGCAGCAGATCAATGCTTCCCTCTCATCATTGATGTTTCTATCTCTCCCTCTCCTTTCCCCTCTGAAATCAATAAAAACATTAAAAAATAGTAATGCTTTGTGTCTAAAAGTGTTTTTATACATGCCGAGTTTTATATGCAAAATGCCAAGACAAGGAGAGCACAAGCCACTTGTTTCCTTGTAGGGGCGATGGCTTGCTTTCCTAAAGCTCCCCAACCGTCTGCTGCTACCTGTCTGTGTGACCACATGCAGGAACTTGTCAGGCTGCCATTGTTGCCTGCTGTCCACGGGCTTCCAGGGAGAGGCAGTCTGGAGATGCACTGGCTCTTCACAAAGAAATGAGGGTAGTCCAGCTTTGGTCTCTGCCCACCTCTGATTTAGCTGCTCTGGCTGGTGAGATGCTTAGCAAGGCTTCATGGCTGGCGGAAGAGGATGCGCCTACCAGATCATTAGACATCCTTAAAGATTCTTCCTCTTTCTAACAAGCAGAGTGAAAGTAATGGCACACAGGAATAAAACTATTTTCAAATAACCTCCTGGTCCTGCAAAGCAATAGATCCCAATCAAATTAAATCTGATTATATGTTGCCAACTCATCTGAGATAGTAGATATCTATTTTTTCCTCAGTTTACAAGGAGGATCAATTATAATAAGTTCAATAATAAACTTGTTCCATCTCCTCCTCTTCCTCTTTTTCTACCTCCTCCTTTTCCTCCTTCGCCTTCTCTACCTCCTCCTCCTCCTCTCTTTTTATTTTCAGGCCCTGACATGAAGAGCTTACTAATTGTTGCTGGTATAATTTGAATAAAGGACCGCATACACCAGTGATGGCGAACCTACGACATGCATGTCAGAAGTGACACACAAACTCATTTTTTTGGTTGATTTTTCTTTGTTAAATGGCACTTAAATATATAAAATAAATATCAAAAATATAAGTCTTTGTTTTACTATGGTTTCAAATATCAAAAAATTTATATATGTGACACGGCACCAGAGTTAAGTTAGGGTTTTTCAAAATGCTGACACGCTGAGCTCAAAAGGTTCGCCATCACTGGCATACACAATGATCATTTAAGCTCATTCAAATTCTATGACACAGCAAATAAATATTAAGATAAATAAATGAGAAAGATCATAACTAATATTTCAGCATAAATTATCTTCCTTGAGTCTTTTATGTCTTTCTTGAGTTTTTCTATGAAAACTATATAAAATGTAGAATATTTTATCTATTATCTGACAAAATGCCATGTGTTCTTGCTTTTTCTGAAGGAAACATTCAATTGCTCTGAATATGGAAATGGATCTTGCCCAGAAGACAAAAGGCCACTGGGTGTCCGAGTCGCCATGTACTCGCTGATGGCGGGAGCCATATTCATCACGGTGTTTGGCAATCTTACCATGATAATTTCCGTTTCCTACTTCAAGCAGCTTCACACTCCAACCAACTTCCTCATCCTCTCCATGGCGGTCACTGATTTCCTCCTGGGGTTCACCATCATGCCTTACAGTATGATCAGATCGGTGGAGAACTGCTGGTATTTTGGGCTTACATTTTGCAAGATTCATTACAGTTTTGACCTGATGCTTAGCATAACATCCATTTTCCATCTTTGCTCGGTGGCCATTGATCGATTTTATGCCATCTGTTACCCTTTACGGTATTCCACCAAAATGACGATTCCAGTCATTAAACGGTTGCTACTTCTCTGCTGGTCCGTCCCAGGAGCATTTGCATTCGGGGTGGTCTTCTCAGAAGCCTATGCTGATGGAATAGAGGGTTATGATATCTTGGTGGCTTGTTCCAGTTCCTGCCCAGTGATGTTCAATAAGTTATGGGGAACCACAATGTTTGTGGCGGGTTTCTTCACGCCTGGGTCTGTGATGGTGGGGATTTATGGCAAAATCTTTGCAGTATCCAGAAAACATGCTCATGCAATCAATAACTTACCAGAAAATCAAAATAATCAAATGAGGAAAGATAAAAAAGCAGCCAAAACTTTGGGCATAGTGATGGGTGTTTTCTTATTATGTTGGTTTCCCTGTTTCTTCACAATTTTATTGGATCCCTTTTTGAATTTCTCTACTCCTGTAGTTTTGTTTGATGCCTTGACATGGTTTGGCTATTTTAATTCTACATGTAATCCCTTAATATATGGTTTCTTCTATCCCTGGTTTCGCAGAGCACTTAAGTACATTTTACTGGGTAAAGTTTTCAGCTCACATTTCTATAACACTAACTTATTTACTCAAAAAGAAACAGAATAGACTTGTTCTGTATGAGTGATTCAAAGAAAAAGAAATGAAACTAAGACGAATTAAGTCTCTTAAAGTGTGTGTATGTGCATGTGTATGTGTGTGTATGTGTGTGTACGTGTGTGTATGTGTATGTGTATATGTATGTGTGTGTATGTGTGTGTATATGTATGTGTATGTGTGTGTGTAATTTTGGCTATCGTGGAAAGCTCTTAGCTCCTTAGGCTTGCAGAGAAAAAAAGAGGAATTTTCTCTTTTAACTAAAAATCCCCCCTTTTCAGAATGATTTATATGCCCATCACTTCCAGGTAGAGGAAAAAAAGTGTCAGAAAGGCGAGAAGAAGCTGCTGAAAAGCCAGGGATGGGATGAAGGGAAGGGATCAAAAAACAAGCTAAGCTTGAGGATTGCTGCCCTCTTTCAGCACCACACACACTTTGTGTGGTATTTCCATTTACCTTTTCTTCTGCAGTGTCTGAGCAGATGTATTGTGACACATCAACAACTAAAAATTATAGCTAAGTGAATACCAAATTAACAATTTCAAAAACGCATACTCTGTCAGAAATCAGTCATTGGTTAGCTGAGAGTTAAGCCTTGACTAGATTTTACTGTTGTGAGATTAAATGTTCTTTTTAAATGAAAGAAGAAACAGGAACTGTGTAACTGAGGCCACAGATTCAACCAACGTTTTCATTTATGTGTCATTCTAATTATAACAATTTCTGTTTTATTAGCAGGAGACTTCTATTCAGGGCCTTCTTTTCTTCCTCAGGCTTATCCACATTTTGTATTGCTAATTAGTATCCTGATTTTTAATAAATATTATATATATATATATAGTTGTTCCAAATATAGTATCAACTTCCTGAATGTAAGACTTTTTGTTGCAATTTATGGTATCATTTTCTTTAAAATGATTGTGTCATATTGGTTAGCAGTTACATTTTCTGTTTCATGAAATAATTAAAATAAATAATATAAAAGTAAATATAAAAGTTGTCTTTTATTCCCTTTTGCTTATTATCTATCTATCTATCTATCTATCTATCTATCTATCTATCATCTATCTATTATCTATCTATCTATCTATCTATCTATCTATCTATCTATCTATCTATCATCTAGCTATCTATTTGTGTGTGTGTGGGCACACATGTGTGTATGTGTTTGAATAATAGAATAGTGAGAGAAGAAAACATAGAACATTAATATTTGTAGGGTGGGGAGGCCTCAAGTTATATTACATTTGTTATTCAGTGTCTTTTTAACTGTAAGTTGAAACTCATCAATAACTTGTGAAATTTAGTGGTCAGCGGCAAGTGGTGTGCAGTTGATGAGTTTCTTAGTGTATATTAAAAATAATCTTCATTTAGCTAATTTCAAGCTATGGATGTAATGTCAGCTGCCTCTCAAAATTTTTGAAAAGTTAACCTATTCTTACAAGTGGGCATGAGTGGTTCCAGCATATTACTGACTGCAGATAACATTTTTAATGAAAAGCAAACTAGAATAGAAGAAAATAGATAATCTTAAATTTATCACTTGCACTGAGGGTAAATATTGCCTTATAAATTTTTAATTTTATTTATATACTAGAGGCCTGGTGCACGAAATTTGTGCACAGGACAGTTGTCTCTCAGCCCGGCCTGCACCCTCTTCAATCCAGAACATCCCTCTCACAATCCAGGACCACTGGCTCCTAACCACTCACCTGCCTGCCTGCCTAATGCCCTCAACTGCCCTCTCCTGCTGGCCTGATCGCCCCTAACCCCCTGACACCCTGATCTTGCCCCTAACTGATCTCCCCTGCCGGCCTGATCGCCCCTAACTGCCTCTGCCTCGGCCCCCACCACTATGGCTTTGTCCAGAAGGAAGTCGAATGTCTGGAAGATGGCCAGTTGACCCGGTCTAATTAGCATATTACCCTTTTATTAGTATAGACTAGAGGTCCGATGCACGAAATTCGTGCAAGAGTAGGCCTTCCATCCTCTAGCTGCCAGCACCGGCTTCCCTTCAGCACCTGGGACCCGGCTTCCCGTGCAGCCCCAGCTTCTTCTGGAAGGTCATCCGGAAGGACGTCCAGTCTAATTAGCATATTACACTTTTATTATTATAGATGCAGGTTCAGGCCGAAACCGGCTCTCTGACATCCTCCAAGGGGACCCATATTGTGAGAGGGTGTAGGCCAAACCGAGGGACCCCACCGGTGCATGATCAGGGCTGGGGAGGGATGCAGGAGGTTGGCCAGCCAGGGAGGGCTCCAGGGCAAGTCTGGCCCATCTTGCACAGTCCCAATCGGCCAGACCCCAGAAGCAAGCTAACCTACTGGTCAGAGCATCTGCCCCCTGGTGGTCAGTGCACCTCATAGTGAGCGGTTGAGCAGCCTTAGCATATCATTAGCATATTTGCTTTGACTGGTTGAATGGACAACTGGACACTTAGCATATTAGGCTTTCATTATATAGGATATGTTTTGTGTATGTGTTTTTGCATATCTAAGTAAACTGTTTCACCAAAATACTTTTTGTTTAATTTCTTCATTTGCAACACTTCAATGAACAAATTAATTTTTTCTCTTTGTGGAAAACTTTACATAATTGCCCCCAAATTTGCTTTGACCTTAGTCCATTGCACAGATCACAATTAAACAGTGATCACTCAGCTGTCAGTTTAAGTGCTAGTCTTGCCTAGCTGCCCCCACATGGGCCTGCACATGTTGTCTACTGCCTTCCATCAGTCCCTTCCCTACAGCTTGTAGGGTAGAGGTGGAATAGTAGAGCTTTTTTGAAGTGGTGAAAGAGACTGCAAGTGCAAAATAAATGGAAAAAAGAGAATTTTCAAGAACAGAGATATTAAAGCCAGATACTTTTATGAGATTTAATATGGTTTATTGGATACTATTGAGTACTTTTTTTAGTAATTTTCTTAATGAAATGGTTATGTTTTGGAATTTAAACATGCACATACACATAAAGACTTTTTGTTTTTATTTTAAGAGACCAATTACTAAGAAATGAGTAAAATCGCTTTGTTGGAGTGGCTCCATGCTTGAGCATCGACCAATGAACTAGGAGGTCATGGTTTGATTCCTGGTCAGGGCACATGCCCAGATTTCAGGTTCAGTCTCTGATAGGGGGCTATGCAGGAAGTCGCTCATCAATGATTCTCTATCATCATTGATGTTTCTATCTCTCTCACCCTCTCCCTTCCTGTCTGAAGTCAATAAAAATATATTTTAAAAAATAAATTAGTAAAATAGATTTTAGCCTTACTGTAAAGTAGAATTATTTTGAATCAATGTTTATTAAATTTACGTATCAGTTCATTAATATATGACTTTAGAAAATAAAGCTAAATAGCTTGGTGTAAGGTTGCCTGCTGACATTTATTGGAAAGGAGTTTATGACTGTCCTTTTTATAGAATGATGATGTTTGTGGTGGTGGTTATTGTTTGAGCTGGTGCTTACAGATGAAATAAAAAATTGGCAGTCCTATGTAGACCATAATGTTTCTTATTTTTTTTCTCTCTTCTTTTATTAGAATTCTATTTGTACTTTAAAGCGTCATTCAAACAGCCCTTCAGTAAAGTTCTGCTCATTTTCTCTGTACCTTTTCATGGCACTTTTTGGTTTCAGAGTGTAGTGGTCCTGCCTTGTTTGCTAGTGAAAGAGTGATCCCGCCTCCTATAGACTCTCTGCCTTCCATCATTCATCCTGCTTTTGTCTCTCAGAGTCAGCCATGTCTCCACTCCACACCCAGAATTGTACAGGAAGTTAGCGACGATGAAAATGAACCTGGGGAAATCAGCAAGCTGTCCTGCATTATACAGCTAACTATGGAAGCAGGACTAGAGCCTAGCTCTCTTGTCTCAATCAGTGTCATTTACTGAACTAGTATTTTTTTTTAAATATATTTTATTGATTTTTTTACAGAGAGGAAGGGAGAGAGATAGAGAGCCAGAAACATTGATGAGAGAGAAACATCGATCAGCTGCCTCCTGCACATCTCCCACTGCAGATGTGCTCGCAACCCAGGTACATGCCCCTGACCGGAATTGAACCCGGGACCCCTCAGTCCGCAGGCCGACGCTCTATCCACTGAGCCAAACCAGTTTTGGCAAGAACTAGTATTTTTAAGATTTGTGACCCTTGGGCTTTTTGTTTCACTTTTTTTTTAAACTAAGGATTTTAGTCAAACTGGTACAAATCACTGAGGCAAAAAGAAATACTCCCCTCCCATCACAAAATATTCACATTATATTTGGAAATCAAAGTATAAACAGAAATCTCTTATTCCTCATTTGGATGTCAGCCAACATTTAATTCAGCCAATATATTTCTATGTATTTTTAATATGTAGAAGTTTCAGCACCTTATCATCCTAGAGTGGAACCCAAGAGACTATGAAATCACTATAAATTGTTGTCCTTCATTTGGAAAAAAGAAACTGAAAACTATCTGGGACATTAACAATACAAGGAGTATTTCAATATCCCCCCAGGAAAGAGAGTTAAAAGAGCAATTCCACTGGGGCTCTGCAGTTAGTTCCTCTCTGGAGCTCTGGGTCTGAGTTCCTGACTCCAGGTCTCTTGAGAGCACAGGCAAACTTATATGAACCAGGTGTCTTACTGCTCAACACTGCGCTTCTGGAATTTCCTGAACTCGTGCCTGCAAAGCCACCAGAACAGACGCAATGATGCACAACGAGCTTTTTAGGAGAGGGAAGGTACTGGGGTCAATACAAAGAATTGAAAATGCACTATTCTTTTAAAAAAATATTAATTTATTCTCTTCTTAAAAGAATTTTTATTGTTGACTAGGTGTCATTTAACATGCTGTATGTTTGAAAGAAAATTTATTAGCTACTTTCTAAGTAGCATTTACTCTTTTCCTAATATTTTTATCTTTCCCAACCAGGTGTCTCTAATACCATGACACTAGATACCTATTAACCAGGTTACATGGTGTGTTGGAATTAATTTCTTTCCATCTGCTTCAACTGTTCTATGTAAATGTTTCAAAAGTTAGATGGTTAGTGATATATTATCTCAGTAACAGCAAGTTTCTTGAGAAATTTCTGATTAAGATAAGGCAGCTTTAAAAAGTGCTGTGTCAGACAAAAGAAACAAAGGCATTTTAAACTAATGATAGCTATAAGATGAGGAAATGAAAGATCTCTAAGATCTTTGGCCACCCCAATAGCCTATAATATTATGAGATTAACTCCAACTGGGAGAGTCAAAAAGAATTTCTGGAAAAAAAAAATGATACATGAACTGAGCCTTGAAGTGGGCACAGGTGAAAGGATTGGCAATAAGGTGGAGGAAAGGGAATTACCGAAGCCACAGAGTGGACATTTGTAGGGCAATGTAGAGGCCACTGTGGCCAAAAGTGGCTGGAGTGTTATAGACTGAAGGGAAGAGAGGCTACAATAAGGGTTTCCGTGCAAACAAAGGCTGAAAGACACATTTATAATAAACAAGACAGTGTTGTGTTGTTACTTATTAATTACTAGAGGCCCGGGGCACAAAATTTGTGCATGGGGGGGTGGGGAGGTTTGTCCCTCAGCCAGGCCTGCACCCTCTCCAATCAGGGGATGTCTGACTGCCTCTCGAAATCCAGGACCGCTGGCTCCTAACTGCTCTCCTGTCTGCCTGATCGCCCCTAAACACCTCTGCCTGCCTGCCTGATTGCCTCTAACTGCTCCCCTGATGGCCTGATCGCCCCTAACTGCCTCTACCTTGGCCCCGCACCCAGGACCCAGGATTCCCCCCTCCAGCTGGCCAAAGGCACAAGGGACCT